CCTTGGCCATCTCTTTCGATTTCATTTATTTCACCTTTCGCGTTGGCAAAAACTCTTCGATATTTTGATCTTGTAATTACGGTCATACGAGCACTGTACGACAGCCAATGGTCGAAAATGTCGAACTCTTGATAGCGCGACAAAAATTTGTGAGTTCTTAATCCCTTTCCAAAATATCAAAAAAAATCAATCCAATGTCTGCCCTTGCACTTTACGTACGTTCATTGCATATGACACCCGAAGCGGGTGTTGCTTCCAATTGTGTTTAAAAATCATCAAAATAGAACTTAGAGGCCTATAATAAAATTCATTTCCTTTGTATGTTAATATCTACGAAAGTGTTGGACCGATGTAGTCGTTCGATTCCACAAAAAAGGTTTGGGCATATCAGTGATGGCTTGACCGTTCTCATTAACGATATCTCAGACCACGCCTTTACATTTATTTGTTTGCCCTAAGCTCAGCCAAATATTATATGTTAGATTCATCTGTGCTCCAGCAGCAAAATACATTGAGTTCTCCAAACTCCTTAGCTTTCAGAATTCATTCACCTTCTCAGGACGAACTGATTACGAAATAATGCGCGTGATAAAATTTCCAATTTTGTTTAGCTTTTCTGCATTGTAGCGATCGACTTTGGCATTTTCTGTAATAAGTCTCACAGTTTTATTGAAATTTGCCTCATCTGAAACACCAATTTTGACAATGATAAAGTCATTAGGATCGCCCACTGAAACTCAGACGAAAATCCCCCTTATGAAGTTCCTAAATTAGACCCAAAATTTGAGCCTAAAAGTGGGTCTTAAAATTATCTTGTTGCTGGACAACCTGGTCCAATACAACAACCTCCTTAAAATCTGCAATTGTCATTTCTCCCTGCAAACAAAAATTTATCGGATTGTCCATGAATAGGTGTCTCGCCAGCAGGGAGTAGTTGTCCCGGATCTCCAGCTTAAATCATGCGAACAACACCAAAAGACAAGTCTCGCCTCCCCTTGGCTTGACAAAATCGGCTCTCAATTGTTCCCAGCAGATCTCAATTGACGATAGAGTACTCTCCAATGAAAAATATGCGAATTTAATTAAGCCTGTCTTTAATTTCCATAAGTGGATCTCCTTTTAGCCCAAAAAAAGACTGAGGTTCCGCCTTAATCGGCATTGAAATAATGAATTTAAGGTAAATCTACAAATTGATAAGAGGCTTTCACCATAAAGATACACGGGTAACATCTCCAGGACCAAGTGCGGTAGAAATTCTACTTATAGCGTGTGACTGACCAGTCGCTGCCGTCCCATTAAAAATCGAACAAAGCTGATTTTCATTTCGCACAGCTTGAATAATTATAATAAAATTATAGCATATGCTTTTATAGTAAAATGGCGGCGAAATTCAGCTGTAAGTTCAACATATTAGAAATCTAAAGGGTATTGTTTGATCGTAAGATTAAGCCAATTGTATGCATTAGCCTAGGACGTTTGGGTGCCAATTAACTGAATGTATGTGTGCCAATCATAGTTAGGGTCATCAAGTGGTTGAGATAGGGCCAGTTGCCCACTACTTGGAAAATGCTTAACTGGTACCATCCACTGATCAGGTTCTACAGGTCCATGTTCACAGTCCAGTTCTTCCATGAGCTCACAATCACCCCCTCCTTTGTTTCAACCAGCGATTTCCGTAGCTCAACAACCTCGCGACAGAATCGGAGAAGATCAGCATTTGCTATTTCCGAAAAAATGTTTTCCTCTGTCTTTGCATCATCTCCATTATCCATCTCTTCAAGGTCTTCAAAATACCAAGACGAACTTACAGCCAAGAAATACTTACAAAAACTTTGTAAGTAGGTGATCGGCGGTTATACTATAAATTGGGAAGGTACCAATGATCGTTCTATCTTGTTTTACACGCTTGACCAATATGGTATTCTTGATCGCAAAATCCCGGCAAAATTTTATCAAGTTAGGTAATACCTCCAAATTTTAATTGGAATAGTCAGACTCAATTTGAGCATGTTTTGCAAAAAGATTCAGCAATTTATCCGCAATGGTTACCTCCACGGTAGATTTGTTAATGCGCAATGCTGAGTGCTGACTTCGAGTGATTGCTTCACAAAATTAAAAGATGACTGGAAGTTCTATCCACCAAATAGTATCCTAGAGTCTACGCTTCCTTTCACATGTCGACGGTCAAAGCACCAAATTATTAGAGATCTCAACTTAGCATTGGGGTTATCGGAATCCTGCACATTTGCATCATAGACATAGAAATATACTGCGAAGACCTTCCCTTTTTTACCCTTGGATGCATACGTGACCATAAAGACTTCAGCAGCTTGACGTCAAGAGTTATTCGAAGGTTTACGTTGGATATCCAATGCTGGTGCATGTCCCGGTTATGCATCGTAAACATGGGTTATTTCTACGCAATGCAATTTTTGTCAGCACGAAGAAAGTCATTCATTTATAATATTGTCGTACCAGTCTAACTTAAATCGGAAAATTAAATCGACACCCAGTTTATTTTTAAAAATTGGAATATTTGTCGGGGCGACAAGTGCGGCGCTAAAAGCAATTCGAGAGATCTAAAATATTTTGCATCAAGACAATCAGGATTGTCTCGACAATCTTTAATGAAAGGTAGAGCGTTTATGTGAAGGTGAAGACAATAATTATTAGCTCGCAAAAAACTTGCCTAATGTCTGTTGTCGAAGAGCAATCTCAGCGATGTCACTCGATGATGAGGCAAATCTGGTACAACTTTTTCGAGCCCGTTGCCTAACAGACGACGTCGCCTAATATTTGATGACTTATAAATTCCGGCATTTCTGAAGGGAGAAGCATTCTCCCCATCTTTTGTTCCAGTGGACGAGTATCTGCTTAATTGACTGCAACGTGTGGTACTATTGTTAATGCAACTATGCTAAATATGCAATTACTTCTGAGCACTGAAAGTCGTGCGTTTCATTTTAGATTTGTCAGCCTCGTACGACCCTTAAGCTATTATTCACGTGCGTGCGTTTGTCGTGCGACTTTCACTGTTTATTCGATCGCAATTATTGTCCTATGTGAAGTGTGACACCTATCACGCTAACCAACATGAGAAGAGGGACATGCTGGATCGCACTTTTTACAAGTAAGATACACGTAATCGCGTTTTTACAGACATTTGCACATACAGATTAATACGATTTAATTTTTTCATTAAGCTTGCGCACAGTTACTAGCTACACCCTACGAGCTCGCAAATAAGTGTGATGTAACTTGTACCTCCTCGTAGGTATAAAGTCCTTCCTTTAATAACTCAGAGCTTAGGTAGAGACAAATTCGATGAATTTGTCGAGTTATGAATTACGCAAATTTTCGATTTCCATTTTTAATTCTAAAAGGAAAAATCAGTAAACTAACGGATTCTCCTTTTGCTTTCACAACACTTTTTTCAAAGTACTGTCACCAACGCATAGAGGCTCGAGATTTGCCAACGCGAGGCCAAAAACAACCGTGAATGAGCCAAGGTATTATGGCAAATTAGGCTTTCAGCGTGTTTATTTTTAGATCACCCAGGACGATCTCTCTCTCATTATCAAAAAGCGCACTGATATTGAATCAATGGAAGATTATGAGCTCCCAGCAAAAGCCCTAAAGGTTCTCAAAATCTAAAGCTAAAGGAAGACCTGTCAACTTGGGTGCTTACATCCTATACATAGAACATCCCCTAAACCGAAAATAACTTAGGTTAAAGCCTATTTGTTTTCTGAATGCCTTAGCCTACCTTAGAACACCAATAGGCTCTCCTGTGGATAGTTGCAATGATTGCAGCAGCGAAAAAAGCTGCACAGCTTAGGAATGTACGGCTTAAGTAGTTTGTAAAAAAGGGGGGGGGCCATTGATGTAGCATTTTCTGGCCTTCGGACTAAAATTCCTTATTATCAGCCAAAGATTGTTTCAACATGGACAAAACTAATGTGTGAGGATTAAGAAAGCATAATTTAGGTTGATGTTGAGCAATGCTAAAAACAAAATAAGCCCATTTATAACATGCATTAAAAAAGACGTTCGCAGAGAGAGACATTGAGAATCTTCGAAAGAGAAGGTCAGAGTTGATTAACTTGGAAAGATTTAAAGTTTGGAATTCGGATAGTTCAGTAACAATGTACTTTCTTTGTTTGTTTAGGTACGGATCTCTACTGCCTTTACGGCTAATGCGGATGGTACATCAAATGTCCATTTATATGGCTGCCACCAGTCAGAGGATCCTTATTTTTTGTATTCACGAGTTTAGTACTCTCAGACACTTAGTCCCCCTATACATGCGCATTTTAATCAGGAATATTATTTACTTAGCTCAGGAGTATAATCGTATGTTTTTTGTCCCTCGGAAAACTCAATATTTGAGATAGGAATGAGCTAGGAGCGAGTAGTCGGCGATTATAGAACGAGTATGGTGGAACGTAATTTGTACGAGTCCTGTGAGTTACGAGTTATGAAATATGAGTTATCCGAGGAAGCCCTGTATAAACATATTCAAAGTCACTCTTTGGTTAGGTCACTATTATGACGCACGCAGGTGATTGGCTTTTCACGGATCAAATGTGAATATTATTGTTTAAATATATGTTAGGCGCTCATAAGAAAAGGTGGTCGCAGCACTTGAGTATGATGTACAGGGCTAACACACACATAAGCAGCAGTACACTCCTTTTTTAGTGGCTGCTGTTGTAAGTGTCTTGCAACTTGGTTCAGGTCTCTGAAGCGGATTACACATAACAAAAGGCGAGGTCCAGAGTTTGCTCCTCGATCATAATGAAGTCGGATGCTCTCATCGTATCGATTGGAGAGACCTATCAAAAGCTAACGACGAAAAACAAAAAAATAAGAACGATACTGTTGCTATAAAAGAAAACAATGTGGTTTCAGGAGTTATCCGCTGCTGTAATTATAATCGATTCCAGCCTGGCGCATTGCCTAAACCATAGCAAACCTACTGAGCTTCGAAAAGGTATCGACTATGGCCATCCTTCGTCACTGTTCTCGATTTCGTCGTCTACCGCGTCTCGGAGTGAGAGTGCATCCATCACACAAGCACTTTCGCCCCTGTATTGCCGAGCTGTGTATCCACCGACTTGGTCCATAATCTTTAAATAAGGCTCCACTTCAAACGCGAATACATCGCCCATACACACATACCGAAATCCGTAGTCGTCTTCTCCTGCGACAAGAACCATTTCTTCACGTCGTGACACCATGCGTTGCTTCGCCGTGTATGTCCGAGGCCGCGTAATCGGACGAAATTTTTTCGGGGCGGGATTTTTGTTTGTGACCGCTACAGCTCGCAATAAAATGGCTTGTGTGACGTCCCTTGATCGCTTGAAAGCCTGGTAGTCAAAGTACAGCAGGCCATTGAGTGTAACCGACAAATAGACGAAAAATTGCAGGATACATACCTCCGAAATGCTTACACTGTTGCACGATTTGGCAACCATCATTTCACAGAAGCTCATGAGTTCCAATGCACCAGATAGATCCTCCACTTGCGAGAAATAGGCAACACTGTTTTCGTGAACGAGCCCAAGCACTCTTTCCATTGGCATGGCGGATGCAGACAATATCTGGTCGTCATCGATGTCATATGTCTTGCGCTTCGACTTGCCCTTGTCACTGGATTCGCTTTGCAACATTTTACCGTGCAACAGTTTTCCGACAACGTGAAAATCCGAAAGAAAAGGATCGCGGACGCTGGATGTTATGGCAGACAAAGTTTTTGGGCTTGTGGACATTTTTTCTCTCTTGGCTTTTTTGCTCGCAGGTGCTAGAACCATTTCCAGCTTCTTCACACCAGGATTCCCTAGAACCTGCAACATGTTTAGTGCGTGCCGTATGTCGCCGCAGCTACAATCTATAATCTTCTGGATATCTGCTACCTGGAAAGCACAGTTTTCTTGAGCGGCAACACGCTCGAGACATTTCTTCATCTGAGTAGATGTCACAGCGTTGACATTAATGACTGAAGTTAGCGGCGAATGCATCACTTCACGAGAAAACTTTCGGCTCAAATGCTCCACATCAAGCTTGCTTCCCTGAACGTCGCTGTAAATACAAACAACAGGATAACGTAATCCATCAGCTGAGCTGACTACGGACTGGTACATATGCTTTAGCTTCTCTTCGTAAAGCGACAGATCGCCTGACCATGACTGAGGCCAGCTCTCGATCAGGATCAATTGGCCAGAACGCGCCAATGGCTCCTCCTTATAACGTGCTGCATCTTGATCGTTTGCCAGTCGGCGCTTCCTACCAATAAAAGGCATGCGTCTGGACGTAGCAAAGGGGAGTGCTGCGTAGGTAACTGAACGATGTATAAAGTCTGAAAAATCGTCAGACCCTGACACCTGTGGCATGTAAAAGTCATCTCGTAACATCCGCGCGTAGTCAAGCTTTCCTGCAAATGAGTTATCGCTCCACTCTTTGACGAGAATGCCTGATTGCAACGCAATACGTCGTACTGCTGTGGACTTTCCCGATCCTGGCGGTCCACACAAGAACAACAATCGCTTCTGGAATACGCCTGGGCATGGCGATGCGTTGCGATGCAACCATTCCGAGATTTCCTGCATTTTCTTCTTGTTCACGCACAAGTCATCAACTGTTATGGGAGCGTACAGATTTGACCAGAGCTCTTGATTCGACTTCACTGCCTTCAAGTTGCAAATGGTGTTATCACTGCGCCGTCGGCAGCTTGTAACGTCACTGTCGGTGGACGTAGTTCCAACACCAGCAGCGTCACTCTCCCCACTATCACTGCTGTCAATGATCTCGACAAAATCTCTCCGAGCGCTCATAAAAGCGACCTTGTTTTCGCTCTGCTTCTTCTCTGTCCGGTCCTCTGGCTGCGAGAGCCACTGCGACAGTTTGAGCGTCTTCCTTAGCGACCCATGCCGCTTGCTCTTGCATACAGAGCATCTAGATGCATTACCGTCTTCATTGAGGAGAGTGCACATTCGACACTCCCATGGTCGAGGCTCTATCATGGCGTTAAGTACGAATTCCTCAGAGTTGTCCTGAATCGCTTCCACTGTTTTAGCCCCCAGCAACGTGTCCGTATCGCTGCTGCTATCCATTGAGTCTTCCATCTCTGCGCTACACCACACCAAAAATTCCATTCACATGATTTAATCATCGTTCAAGTCGTGATTGAGCAATGGAATGAGCTACTTACCGCTGCCGAAGCCGTCGGCGACCGTGGCGCATATTATCTTTTGTTTTGACTCTAATTAGTGGTACACCTTGAGCACCAAGTGTACCAGTATATTTAGCGTTTCTAAGTTAGAAATGACGAAAAAGAAGGAAGTCAAGACACCGGCGCTAATTCCTGCGACGCTGCAGACTGAAGAGTGGAAGAGAGGCTTCAATGAGCAGGAGAAAGAGCTATTGGAGTCGTCAATCACGAGGTGAGACTTGTTTGTTAGATGACGCTTACCGGAATTTGACTTTGACTCACTTTTTATATGCTCAAGTGTGAATGGGTTTTCGCAGGAGTTGCAGCGAGTGCGAAAGGCAATGAAGGAAGCGCCAGCAAGAGACGAATGAGGTTCCGGCAGCTTGAAATCTCCCAGAAGAGAGTCAGTACTGTGTACCTGAAACGAAGTTAAATCTTAGTGCAGCTTCACTGCTTCCATGAGGTTACGTAAGGGTCTCTCATGAGTTTGCAGAGGTATCGATGAATGGAATCTTGATGTTACTTGTGCATCGAATCCAGCAGTAGCTCGATACGAGCACGGACCATGACATGCAACATTTTTTCTGTAGCTGCATAGGTATCACTACCAAATTTGCGCACATCATCGTCCGGACTTGAGGTGAGCAAGCGGTAGATTGGAAGCTGAAACTTCTGCTTTCCCTGCATCTCGAGAAATTGTCGGACGACAGACAGCTTGCTGATGACAACATTCTTGACCAGGATCAATGCCCATCTGAAAAGAATCTCCGAGTTGCGCGACCTCCACAGTGCAAGTGTGTCGCCCAGGACAATCACCACTTCTGCACTCGAAAACTTTGTCTCGAGGAAGCAGTCTAGAAAATAAAGCATTGGTCGAGCCTCCCATTCTTTTGCCTGTTCCGACAATTGGAAAATGCTTGGCTTTACTGGCAAAGATGATGACTGCCAGCGCAACGCCAGTGACTCGCATGTCTGCATGATTTCGTGCGCATCAGAATAGTCCGGCACATATTGCGGATAGCCCGGTTCATTTAACCACGTGTTGAATGAGATGCCACCTTTTAGGTCAGTCTTTGAAGAGTCTGCAAGCTCCGGGAAACTTTTCAAGAAGAATGCAATCATCGTTTCTGCTGGAATCGACTGGAAACAATACTCGGCACAGTATCGTTTCAGGAAATCATCAAACACCTGCGGATTTAAGTATGTTAGCTCGCGCAAGCACTCGCAAAAGGCTCGGTAGAATAGTCGCAGGAGACATGGTGCCGTACCTGATCGGATTCAACAAGACTTCGGAGGTAACACACGAATGCGTAGCCCTTTTCATAGGCACACATATTGTAGCAGTCACCAGGGTCAATACCTTCGTCGAGAGGCACACGCAGCCGTGTTAGGGGCGACTGTTCTCCAAAAGACGATATTTCCTCACGCAGCAATGCTTCTCCGAGTTTGGCATCAAGGCAGCTCAACGCCCTACGATCAAGTCAACGCACATTAGTATATGCGCTGTACTTCGTGTTCTAAAATTACATACCTGCCGTGTGATACCTCCGTGATGCGTCGCTCAGCATACATTGTAAAACCTTCATTCAAGAAAAAGTCGCTCCAGGTTGCGTTTGTTACCAAGTTACCAAACCAGGAGTGGGAAAGTTCGTGCGCCACAACTGTAACAAACAGATAAAGCGAATACAGTCAGCAAATGATCTGGTGACACTAAACAAGACCGACAAGCCAGTCATTTCGTTAACGCACTCGATACGAGCGACTTGTCTCCCGCAATCGTGCATGGTGACACAAACGTAAGACGCGGGTTCTCCATCCCACCATACGGAAACGACGGCGGCATGACTAGCATATCGTAGCGCTCCCACAGATACTTCCCAAATAGTCGCTCTCCGACGGTCAAATACTCCTCCAGCACGCTATCAAACTCCTTCGTCGCGGCTTCTATCATACACGGTTCGGTCCAAACGCTCGATCGCGGACCGACTTCCGCTTCTACCAAGTCTCCTACAGCCATCGCGACTAAGTACACAGGGATGGATTGCTTCATCTCAAACGTAAACTTCTTCTTCACAGTAGTCACATCTTTATATCCATTCTCGGGTCTGTATTCCGTCACCCCACACTGTTTGGCACTCATGACACACACTAGCTCGTGTGGGACGACCACTGATGCGGTGTACGTGATGCGTACAGAAGGAGAGTCCTGACATGGAAAGAAGCTCCGGTTCAGCACTTCTTGACCTTGTGTGTACATGTAGGGCAGTTGTTTGCCTGCTGTCTGCTCCTTGTCGAGCCAGCACACCCCAGGACTCTCCCTCTCCGTCTCGTAGCAGATCGTGAGCTTAAAGGCACGAGCTCGCGCCAATGCATCCGGAATGTCCACCTCCAAGGCTTTTCCAAATGACGTAAAGGGTCTGATGCGCCATTGAACCATCATCGTAGGGTTATGATCAGGCAGAACGGTGGCGCACACCGAGTTGATGGTCAAGTAGAACACGTCCAGACGCAACGTCGCTGCTCCATCGCGCAGGCGGGTGACAGACAGAGTGGCAATGCCCGCAACGCACTTCATGTCCATGTTCACATTCAGCTGGAGGTCAATATGGTGTGTGCGGAACTCGCTCAGGTTTGTGCACGTCGCAGGATCATCGCGCGCTCCTTCAACGGTCGCCATGGTCGACAGCGATCTGAAGACGTTCGTCAGGTCGGTCACTCGCGCGAGGGAATCAATTGGCCTCATGATTTTAAATTTAAAATTCATGCACGCGGCGCTTTGGGACGAAGTCCAGGTCTCCTGTGACCCCGTTCGCCTCGCAAAGGCACTAAAGGATGGAAAAACAGACGTTTCTGTAGTCATGGACGGATGGACGCCGCTTCATTTCTTGAGCGAGAACTGCATTGTGGACCCCAAGTCACGTGCCGAAGGGTTGCGGCTGCTGAGCCAAGCGGGCTTCAGTTCGACCGCAGTGGACGAGGTAGGGATAGAATAGGGGCGTTTTTCAGCAAAAATGTACTGAAGAAAAGTTATGCTTGTTTTATCGTGCTTGATGATGGTGGCAGAACGGGTGGACCGCTCTTCATCTGTTGTGCAAGAATAAGAGCAGAGATCTGACCCCGAGCATCCAGCAGCTAGTCGAAGCCAAAACGAACGTAAATCTTCAGACGACGGTGTGTTACGTCGTGGAGTATACAGAAAAGGTTTTGATGTGGGGAGGGTGGTGGTGGTGGTGGTACTGAGAGGTGTTTGTCATTCCAGGACAGCCGAAAGTCGGCGCTGCATCTTCTCTGTGAGAATGAAGTAGTGTCAGACGAGGCGCTAAAGACTTTACTGAAGTCGAAACCAGAAGTAAACTCTGTGGATGAGGTACACAAGGCACAAAAGAATGTGGCTGATGTAGGATGTTGCGTGACTGAACCGGGTGGCTGATGTTTTCATGTTTAGGACGGCAATGCACCGCTACATTACCTAGCGGAGAACTGCTGTCTGTCGAACTATATGTTGAGTGTCTTGCTGGCGGCCGGGGCAGACCTGAATATCCAGAACAATGTGCGTGAGGTTACTGTCTAGCTGCTTCTCTCTACAAATTCTGACATTGTTGCAAAAAAATGGACGACGCGGACCTCGTGCAGTTTCACGCCACTCCAGCTCATTACATTTGCCAAAACAGTCGAGTAACACAGCTCATGATCGCCGAGTTATTGAAGCACAAGGCTGATTTCAACATCAAGAACAATGTGAGTGATTGATGCTTCAATTACTATCCGTTCGCTTGCAACTACTGACGCATTGTTGCTCGTGTTAAACAGATCGGAAATACACCTGTTCATTATCTGTGTGAAAATGACTCAGTAACGGTAGATTTGCTCCGAGAACTTATGAACGACGAACATGTCAACGTCACGATCCCCAACTCGGTTCGTGGATTAAATTTACAGACGAATAACCCTATCATCTCCACAAGACTAACTTATTAGACGTTGCTATCATGCAGCTCGGAAAACTTGCCAGTGATCATCTTTCATCACAAAAGAAAGACTGCCTAGCGTTTCTGCAGAAGTTCGCGGCACCCAACTTGGCCCAAGCGGGAGGCAGCTCCAGCACGTTTGCTGAGATTGGCGGCGAAGATCCTAGCGAACTGCCGGACCGTTTAAAGCGAGCACTCACAGCTTGGAACGCGTCACTCCCGCCATTTGACGCCGCCTTCTATAGTGCTGTTTCGTGCGAAGCTGCATTTGAACGCACGTACGACGAAGTTCAAGAGATATCGGGGCAAGCGTGCGAAGCTCCTGATGACGCGACGATCTTTGCCGCTTGGGAGAAGAGTCTGTCGAAGTGGCGAGCATGTATCTTGTTGGCTTATGCGGCTCTTGTGCCACCAAACGTTTGGCACCAATACGCTGATCAATACCAGCGCCCTGTGCCAACTGATCTCTCGAGAGTGCTGGGCAAAGTGGAGGCAGCATGGAAGCAATTTCCGGAACCGACCCAGCGTCGCGGCCGTTTTCAAGCTCTAGCTAGTGTGTTTACGCACTAGATAAGCGGTTGTTCCTGCAAGTGGTGACTTTGCGTAAAAGTTAGCAAGTGTTGCAGTGTCTGCTTAAGCTCTTGAATTTTACTTCATAAATGTCCATGCTGCGAGGGTTGAATCCCGTACTCATTTTTTCTGGCTGTATATATCAGGTGTGAATAAAAATGCGAGCCCGAAGTGTATTAAGCTAATAGTGACTGGGCCCAAGGTCGAATGCCGAACTTTTTAAACCGTACTTTTAAGTCTGTCTGTAGGTAACGCGGTTAGGTGTATCTTACCCACACTAAGTGCGTTCCAGTCTGTTCCCCCTCGTAGGTACATAGGCATATCCGGAGTCACTCGTTCATTATGTCACTATTGGAGAACTCACTTATGATTGGCTTAAAATGTGATTAAAGGTGAATTTGATCACAGAAGCAAACGCTGGGCGCTCAAAAGCAAAGACTAATCGCTTTGCCTGAGAATGACGTACACGATTATCAGACATTAGCAGCAGCACACTAATGCTTCAGTAACTCCTGTCGTATAGTGTTCCGCAACTTGATTCGGTTCTATGAATCGGATTACATATATCAAAGGGCGAGTGGTCTGCAACTTGATTCAGTTCTATGAATCGGATTACATAAATCAAACTCCAAAGCTAGCACCCCCATCTTATATAAACCAAATGTAACAGGTTGCCTTCGTTACCTTGGTGTTTACACAAGGTTTTTCTCAAGTACGAATATTCCGTGAGGACTAACAGCATATGCTCTCAATGTTGGCTGGACAAGCAATATCGTTTTACAGAAATAATGTACTGCACATCAATTATTGTAGATCAACGTTACCAACCAATAATGCGGATCCAGGACAGAAGATCGCAATGATTGGTGCGCAGATCGTTACAGTACATGTTTGTATCCAGACATAGTTAAATAAAGTTTAATAGGGATTTGTTAAACGTATTAACTAAAACATGTGTAGATCTACTTTTTACTCTCACTGAGTACTCTTACTCCGTAAAGCAATCTTCATCTGCACATACGTCAACGTGAGGTGGTCAAGTGTACACACCCTTGCACTGTCAGCAGTGCAATGTATATTCAGTTGGCTGCGTTTGTGCATCCTAATACACCAAACAATGTATGAAAAAAAGGAATGTATAGGTACCCACTCACATAATGAAACGCATACCCACTCGAACTGTTTAAAAATCAACGGTGCTGTACTTACTCTTTACCCATAATTTATAATTTTACCCCCTTCACCTTTGACAACGATAGTCCATTTTTAATGAAAATCTACAAATAAGCTCCTTTCATGGGCTGATTTGCTAAAATGCCTAAAAATAAAGCTTTAACTGGGCTTAATCAGCTAGTATTAGTCGCTAACTAAACTAGGAGCCACCGGCCAAGAAATTCACACTTGCAAACCACCCATTTCTGAACTTTTTGACACCGAGGTCAATTGCGATGCCTTCAAGCCACCGATGGAAAAAGTGAAGACTACAAAACGCCAGCTTAAAAAGGGCAAACACCGCTTTTTAAAATCGGATGTTCAAAAAGAATTGCTTACGATTGATCGTCATTGTATCCAGATTTGTCGCATTGATTAGCTTTAATCACACGAATCTGACTCTTTAAATTTTTTTTTGATTATACTATGCATTTTTATCGAAGCATGTTTAAATAAACCAAACGAGGGCTAACATATATTTGCCTCCTCTAATAATCCCAAAGCTGCAATTTGACGAAACAGACAAACATGATGAAACATAAATACGCTCTCTTAGGTCATTGACAAAAAAACGGAGGGAGAAATTGCGTAAGACACAAGAATGTAAAAAATGATTTGGAAGCAAACTCTAGCTCGCCTTTTATATAAGTTATTCGGTCTTCTGAACTGAACCAACTTCTGTATATCTGCGTACCTTGCATTAAGTCACTGACAACTTTTCCGTTAGGGATCGCAATAATGCTTATTGAACAATGAAGTGGGGATAATTGCTACATCGCACTTTGTGTGAAGTGAAAGGTATATCATCCTTTACTAATGCGAGCAAAAGGTGACAGACTAAATCGCACTTAGTCGACGTGTAATGTGATCCTGACGTGACTTACATACAAGTGGAATAAAAGACTAAATCGCACTATGTATGACGTCTAAAGTACACTGAGTTTAATTCTATACAACGACGGTTAAATACTATATCGAACCTTATATGACGCGCGAGGTACATACAGTAACCTGTAGACAGCCGCAAACAGATAAGAACGATTGTAAAGTTCGGCACCCAACTAGTGCGCAGTCACTTATGGTTATATCCGTCGGGCTCACAAAATCAATCGGTGTATCAGCGGCATAGTAATTATTCCTAAGTTAATAATGTTAAGGCCCGCAGACCGTTTGAATGTCCATTATCATCGATCAGATCTTACTGCAGTGCAACATTGTCAGCTAGTGTTTCTATTTGTTAAAGAAGGTCGCATTAAAGAAATTCATGGCAATCGGACCCCATGAGGACACGTTAAAGCAAATGTAACATTTGCAATTGCGTCAAGTAGTAGAACGAAAGCGATTATAGTTACGTATAAGATCATTAGATGCTTCGTAGATTGACATCACCTACAAGAGTATTGTATATAAATAATGCTGAATTTTGTCACTGGTCACAACTACGACTGCATTCTCGCACAACTAGATCTTTCAAAGTGTCACTTGACACAAATCATGTTAAAAAAAGGATAGCGGCAGGACAGACAGCAGAGTTTTCTGCCAGTTTTATTTTGCTCGCCGTATTCACTTGCAATATGCTGATGATCGACTACCACCTCAGCACATTGTTGCTTTCACACAGTTGGTATATTTCCATGAAATTTAGCAATTGTACGAATTTTTAAATGACTTCATATGGACACTAGAAATTGCGTTTTTCACTGCGAATAATATGCGACTACTTCCTAAAATTCATTTTTTGGGCATTTGCTGACTAGCTTGAAACAAATAGACGAGCTTTCCTAAATCAAATGTGTGGTAATTCTTCGAGCAACTTTTTCAAATTTTTTCTCAAAGTTCTACGTATACGAATGAATGACCGTGTTTGCGCCTTCCGCTCTTGCCTTGACATCATCTAAAGACGGAACGAGCAAAATCCATCGACACAATTAAGTGCTTTGATTTAGCAATATTCTGGCTACCATCGTCGTATGGACAGAATACGACTGATAATGTATATCGAAAAGGTAGAGCTTTGCATCTTTGCATATAAGTTGTAAATTGTTGCGTCAGATTATCTATTTAACAGTTTTACTGGGTACGTACGAATCAAAAAGTGGGTGTGTACCTCATTACTCCTATAAGGTAAGTTTTAGTTCCACCAAGCTTCGTTCTATCTACGCAACACCATGATTTAGCATAAAGATGTTGGGCGGATCACCAAATTACTCCCAATTCATCCCTTACCTCGACTACAATCTCCGATAAGCTTACCTTCGATTATCAAATAAGTGCCGGACCAAATTAATAATAAAGGGCGTATTAACACGAATTTGGACCCCTCCATTTCCTTTCACAATTTGCTATTAACTTTGCCTGTCGTGCAACGCGCACTGACTGATCTCGATTACATTCAAGTCATTTAAAAGAGCTATTTACAGGCTTCTCCAGCAGAATGTCTAATTTAACACACATCGTCTTTGTAGCTGAGACGAGCTTGTTGATTACGATAGAAGTCAGGGATAGAGTAGATTTCGTTTTCACAGTCAAACGAATAGACAAAACGCGTATCCATCCGCATGTTGAATCAGGTTTAGATCTTGGTGGCCTATTTTAAAAGGGCATCACACATTTGTACCAGAATAGACCATTGTAATATGAAACACATTTGACCGAATGCAAGTGGAATGTATATAAAGTCCGCTGAAAGATTGGTTAAATCTTACAACGATCACACCCACAAAATTTAGCCCAACCTAGACTCCCGAGTTGCCGGCGCTATAAAAAGACGCACTAATTCTGTCGAAAAGATTGTAGGAGTATTGCTTCTGAGCGCCAATCATCTGCTTTCTTCCGACTTATCAACACACTTAATATAGACCTTACGGCTGGGAACAGTACTCAATGTTTCGCACTCAAGCGTGTGCTACTGTGGTGCGCCTTATTCATTAAAAAAAGCTGTTATGTGGTGTAACAGTTTAAATGGAGGGAAATTGAAGCTTCTCATACTTTTAATCACAAAAATCTTTACTTCCTACTTTAAACTTGTGCAAATGTGTCACAATTAATATATACATACTTTTTTATTTTTATGGTTTGTGGAAATTGATAGGCACACACAGCCAAATGATGCCTACACACCCAGATGAACTTTTTTTAGAAATTTGATAGCAATAAAAAGTAACGTTTATGCATATAAATCGAAATTTTATAAATTTATCTACTAATCGTGCAAAAAGCTCAATTAGTATTTCTTAAGTACTGCAGCATTTTTGTTGTTTCCAATCGGAGCTATGAATTTTCATTCGTAGACAAGCCTGTTGGGCTGTAGCAACTTGGTTCACTAGTGTACCAACCCAGACATTCCTACAGAAAATAGTTGGTCGATCGAGCACTTAATCTGATAGCAGTGCACTGTTTATGGGACAAACCAAGATGAATAGATATTACTAGAATAGTATCAGTAATCTGCATCGTGAAACGTGACTGATCGTGTCCAGAAGCGGATACATTCTCAGTAGCATTGTAGCAATTACGTCAGATATGATCATCAATGGTTCTTTATAGTGCAAACTAGTCATGCGACCACACGCTGGCATACGACGAAAGATGTTAGCACGACTCGCAATATTTGGTGCTGCATCTTTCGCTACCTAGCGGGTAACTATTTTTGTACGAGAAAAAGGAATTGTCAACAATGACAGGGATAGTTGCAATGACATTGCCCAGAAACGAAGTAGTGACGCAGTTATTTGGGTAGTAACGCACATCGAATGACAAAATTGTGGATGTACGCTTCCCTGTCATGT